GACGCCCTCCATGCGCCCGCTGCCTCCGAGTGTCGGAGCTTCAGGCGATGTTACCGGCATGTGTTATGGCATAGACAGCCGTTGACGGCAAGCTTGAGGACGCTTGGAGATATTCCCAAACGTGATTAGGTCATATACGTATACAACCTCGCGCGCGCGCTAGAACCTCGCCCGCGCGCGCGCTAAATCCTCGCGCGCGCGTAAATCTTTATTTGTACAAACGAACCGTCATATAGACCAATAACCTCTGCCGCGCAATTGCGCTAAGCAAACCAGTCTGGCTTGCGCTGATCGCGGATTTGACGGCTCGGGGTCTGATGGACCAAATCCCCAAGGCAAAAGAGGAGGCGACCTCCGCTGGCGACTTGATACGGGAGGTAAAGCGACTAGTATGCGGTCCAGAATCGTGGGCCCGCGGATGCCGTCCAATCGTACTTTCCATTGACCTCCCGAGTATCAACTTTCCTGTTCATCGTAGAACAGGAACCGGCCCAGTCAGACTCCTTCCGGGCGGGCGCTACATTACCGTCGCGCACGAGACGCACTTGGACTGCTGGAGCCTATGGACCGGGGGATTTCTGTGGACACGGCCGGGCTGTTTGTCATACTATGCCGTCGAAATTCTTGATGACGGAGACTCGGCGCGTTTTTTCTTCATCCACACCGATAGCCAGTGAGTCCAACTTCTATCTTTCTCGTTGCCTTCTTGAAGGAAAAGTGTATCTGAACAGGGTAATGGAACTGGTCGAGATCGAGCTCCAAACCGGCTCGTCAGAAAGCCTTTCTCAATATCCAACGTGAAATCGGCGTAGCTGCGAACGACTGCCGATACCCCACCGTCTCGGGTGATTTTGTAACAATGACCATGCGTTTACAGACTGGCGACGCAAGGGTTATTGCGTCCGTGGGTGTCGTCGTAAACTGGCGCCTCCGCGTATACATCGTCTTCCACTGCCACTACACTGACCATTCGAGGGATGCGGTACGTGTTCGATATCTCCTCGTGCGTGCCGGTACGACCGATTATGTTCATCTTCAGGCAGGAATAGTCATGATTCCAGGGAACATCGTCCTCTCCACCACCACCTGGAGGTGGCCACATCGTCCCATCCTCGCTGCATATAGTCTGGCATCCGTTGCCTCAGAGTGGCGGCCTGTCACGACGTTCAATACGCGCAAGCGTATTGGGGTGGACGGACCAAAGCCAAGCTCGATTCAAGCCCCTTGTCGTCGATGATCTCGGGGCTGGCAGGATATGGAGCCCGGAGAACGATCCACCTCGCGTCGCAATGACCGGTCTCTATCCCAATCCAGTGCGACGCAACGAATATAAACTGTTGCTCTATCTTTCGCCAGTGCAGCTGCTTGCGCCTGTGGAACCGCGCCAGAAATCTACACTGGGGGACAAATTACGCAAACGGCTCGTTCCTTCTGCTGCCTCTGCTCCGCCTGTTCTTGTGAAATCCAAGATCAGTGGCCTGTTGTTCACGTTTCACCTTTCCGCTCCGGAGTTCCCCAACGGCCGCGATCTTCACATCACTCGCACGTCGGCAGTTCCCAGTACTTCTGCGTTTCCCACCAGAGAATTTCCTAATAGGAACACCATCTCTTACGCGGGATATGTTGTCCGCGGACACGATAATATCTTGGACGTCCGTCTCCTTCGTCCAGGGCCTGGGTCAGTCGCAAAGGACACGGGGCCCCGCACGGTGCTACACGAGCAGGGTCGTGAATGCGAGCTGTCGACGACGAGTGGAGCGGTCACGAGTTTAGTAGACTTGGCTGTCCTCGTAAAATATTATACCTGATTGCTACGCGCGACCTGACGCCAACGGGATGAGACGTGGCCGAGACGCATCCGCACCCACCCTGGCTCCGCGCTGGATAACGTGCCATTTCGACACAGGAAATTTTTGGCGAGGATTTCAGACGTAATACGGCGAATGGGAGAAAGGACGCCTTGCAAGGTCGCCCGCATATTCGCTGCGAATGCGCCGCTCGTGCGCAGTCAGCCCCTGTTTAACCAAAATCTGATTCCATGTGCTTGGTTGCTTTACGAAGAACTGATTAATGGAACTCACCTGCTAATACGCTCGGAAGAGACTCCACGGGAGGCTCGGTTGGTTGAGTGAGAAGTTGAATTTGAGCAGACGGGTTCATTTAGGTACATTCAGGAGATAATAAGCCCTCGTCGATCATCGTGATCACCTGAGTTCAAGCATCAGCTCTCGCCAAGTTTTAGTGGGCAGCGGGGGATCGACTCCCCCCGAGGGCGCTCAATTCCTTTCGCGGAGCTTTTTTTCTTTGCCTCCCCTCTGATCTACCTAGATTCGCAACAAGCACTCGTCATGGTTAATCAAGGGAGCTCACCTGCTAATACACCTGGAAGAGATTCTAAGGGAGGTTGAGTTGGTTGAGTCGGAAGTTCAAATTGAGACCAGGTGGATTTATTCAGCTCCCTTTGAGGCATACTGAGCCCTGGTGTTCACCCACACATATTACAAGGGGCACCATTGTATTTTACGGGGCTCGTTGATGAATGGACCTCACGAACCTACAAATACAGTCAGAAAGGTGGGACGTTGAAAGTCCAAGTTGAAAGCAGGCGGATTTATTGAGGAACCTTCCACGTCCGTTCAGCCCTCGTCGATCAAGGCGATCACCCACTCGAGTTTAACTTCCGGTCTTGCCAAGTTCTAGTGGGCAGCGGGGGTTCGATTCCCCCCGAGGGCACTGGAGAGATCGGCGATAGGCTTTTTTCCCCCACCTGCTGATGTAAATTAGGTTGAGTTGGTTGAGTTTTGAAAAGCTACCAGATTTATTCATCTACCTTCGATGTAAAGAAAGCCCTCGTTGATCAAGGCGATCACCACTCTAGTTGGAGTTGCACCGTTGGGCCGGCGGCTCGATTCCCCCTGAGGCCACTGAATGGTGTAGGAGAACTTTTTTGTGTCTCGCTGATCTGACCCTGATTCGTATTGGCTTGGTTGGGTTGCATTCTACGGGTATTTTACGGAGACCCCCAAGATCACCTGCCAATGCCGAAGACAGGTTGAGTTCGAAGGTCAAATCAAAAGCAGGTCAGTTTATCCAACCAACTTCGAGGTATAAAAAGCCCTCGTTGACCATGGTGATCACCCACCAGACTTTGTTTGTCTGACGATGTCTTCTATCCTATCAAGTGGGCGCCGGGGGTTCGACTCCCCCCGAGGGCATGCTCGATTCTCGCTTTCTTTTTTCTCAGCGAGCTCCGCGAGGATACATATCCGCATCCATTCGAGTAATACCCTTGAACTATACCCGACGATTGGCGAGTGCGCATGCGCAGTACCACACCCACCCGCTCCCCGCCCTCCGCCCACCCATCCTCATAGTGATAAACCCCGTTTAATAGCAATAACCCCCCGCTTAACAGCAGTTCAACACCGCCGAATAATAACAGTTCAACGCCGCCTAATCGCAGTTCAACGCCGCCTAATCGCAGTTCAACGCCGCCTAATCGCAGTTCAACGCCGCCCCTCTCACACCTAAACCCCACCCACTCCACCCTAATACTAATACTAAAACAACACGCTAATAAATCAAACGGGTTTATCCAGCCCCCTCCTCCCTCCGTCAAGCCCTCGTCGATCACGGTGATCGCCCACGAGAGTTATCTGACCACCCCACTGATTTGGTGGGCAGCGGGGGTTCGACTCCCCCGAGGGCAAGAATCCGTCAACTCGATCCCTTCCTTTTTGCTTTTTTTTTTTTTCAGCCCAAGGCAGCAGAGTACAGCACCCCGCGCGCCTGCATTAGTACATACACCGTTGGAATTGTAACCAACAACTGGGGAGTGCGTCGTACAACAACCCCCCACACGCGTAATAAAACCCCCCAGTCTTCCCCGTCCCAAACCGCTCTCCGAGCCCCTTGGCCTCGGCGATCATCTTGTTCCGCCGCGTATCGTCCATGAGCCGGCCCGAGAGCGCCATGTCGCGGTCGCGCTCCCAGATCTTGCTTTTGCCGTCGTCTTCGGCGTCTTTTTCGCCGGGTTTGCTCTGTGCGGTGTAGATGTTCATTTGGATGTAGGAGGGAGGAGGGGGAAGAGAGGGAGGAAGAAAGCGAGGAACGCACCTTCGCATGCATATCAACCAACGCCGCGCCGCGCGTCCTTGCGGTGTGTTCCGCGACGCCCGCGCGCTTGCGCGCCTCTAGCCCCTCCTTCATGTCTGTCTCATCTCCATCAGCGGGGCGTTCGCCGCGTGCCGTTTGCGGCCGGAGACCTCGTCCGCGAGGCACTGTGCGCGCTCGGCGGGGGTCTCCGTCCACAGTGACGGCTCAGCGGAGGATGAGGCGCGGGCGGAGGCGGCGGTGCGCGCGCGGAGTTTTGTTGGGTCGAGGTCTGCGTGGGTATGTTAGCCTCGACGGCTTCGAGAGGAAGGAGGGCAGGAGGGGGGCGAAGAAGGGGAAGAGAGGAGACAAGAAGGGAAAAGACGCACTGCCGAGCACGGAGGTTTGGACGAGGAGGCGGAGGTGGAGGGGAGTATGTCCGGCGGCAGCGCCGGCGCGTAGTCGTCCTCGGAGTCGTCCTCGGAGTCATCAGCGGCGGGGACGGCGGGTGGGAGCTGCGGCCCGGCGACGGCGACGCCCGGGCCCTCCTCTTCGTCATCGCCCGCGTCGGCGTCGTCGCGGCGGAGGAGGTGCGGCGGGCGCGGGGCCGATGGCGGACATGAATGAATGGGTGAGGAGAGGGTTGGTCATGTTTGGCTAGAGCGTCGGACATGCCGGCAAGCGGCACTGGCGTTGAACGTCGAACGAACACAAACCGGGGGAGCAGCGGGCAACGTTCTTGATTTCAGCGGGTGCATACGTATGAGGTATTTATGAGGTGCTTATGGGCGGAGCTCCAGCGATGGACAGGATACAATAAGTACAATAAATTCACATTGCATTTTTTATCGTTCTTCGTTGTGCTGAAATCCGAGGTATTTTAACCCTAGCTGAGAAAAGGAGGAAAAGGCCTGGTGGTGTAGTGGGAACATGTGTGCTCTATATTTTGCTTGATCAAGTGTTTAGCAGGAGTCCCTCGTTCGATTCGAGGTAGGGCTATGCCATGCATGGTCTGGGTTGACTTTTTTTTTTGGTCTGCGATCGATCAGACTCACACTCGGCATTAAATCTCAACTGATAAATCGAATTCTCTGGTGCAGGTAGGAATTGTACGTTGTAGCATTGCATTCATTATTCAGCTTGAAGTATTTTTCGTTGCCAATGCTTATTCCTGCACTTTATATCATATCATAGGTAAGCAGAGAAGGGAAGGAAAAGGCTTGGTGGTGTAGTAGGAACCACGCCTGCTTTGCATTAGAGATAAGACTCAGATCCTTCAGCAGGAGTCCCTCGTTCGATTCGAGGCCAGGCCATCATCACTTCGAGTTGATTCTTTTTCTTTTTCTTCTTTTTCTTCCTCTTATCAGACTCAGTTGTCTCGTGCAGAACACAATACAATACATACCCCCTCTGCGCGTATGAACCGCAGTTTCTCTAGATCTACGAATGAAAAGAAGTGGCGGCTGCCTGTGTTACGACGGGGTCAAGTTTCAAGAAGCTCAAGGACTCCTTCGGCGGGTGAATTTCGCGCGGCTAAGTAGGTCAGGTGGGGGAGACGTTGGAGATTGACTCGATGAAGACTCGCACTCGAGTCAAGAGCAAAGTCCTCGAGCGAGAACCCGAGCGGCCATGCGAAAAGCAACCCTGGTTGATCAGTAGTGGGGTTCCCTGTTGCGCGCCCTCTCCGCCCTCACCTGATGAACACTGAGGGACTATAGTAACCTTGTCAGCGATTGCAATAACCTTTTCAGCACCGTGTAGAGATCCGCATTGCTGCTGCTGGCGCCGCAAGCAGCGAATCCAATAATATATATATCGTACAACTCGGGACTCGGGGTACTAGTAGCTCAGTGCTAGTACAGCAAAACAACAAAGTAGACATATCGGCTGTGTTGCCAACAACGAAACATATTTCTTCAGAAAGAGGGATGCAACCGCTATTGGACTTCGAATGTGAGACTGGTACAAAGTACGATCCCCCGGTATTTAGCTACGATTTCCATACGGATATCGATGATCGGAGGGGCTCATTGGGCGGCTATATGTAGCGTTTGTGCAGAGTGCACGAAATACCCGGAAAACGCGACTGGCTAACTCGAATGGTTGCACCTTGAAGGGAGCTGAGTAAATTTATCTGCTTTCGAGGTTCAACTCAGCCCAAACTCAGCCTCCCACTCTTCCAATTGCATGGAACTTCGTAAAATGCATATGGGATCAAGCGACTGATCCGAGTCCTGAGTCAGCGAGCGCGAAAAAGAACAGAAAAAGAGGTGAAAAGCTGATACCATAGGACCAGTGCCCTCGGGGGAGTCGAACCCCCGATACCCACTTGACGATAATGAGCTCAAAGGCTAACTCTCGTGGGCGATCACCATGATCGACGAGGGCTGAAGGTACCTCGAAGCTGGTTAAATAAATCTACCTGGTCTTGATTTGAAGGCTCCCTCCCTTTCTGACTGCACCAGCAGGTGATCTTCGAGAGTCTCCTCCCGGTAAAACGCACCCAAGCTACGGATCTGGGTCAGATCAGCGAGGCACAAAAAAAGGTCGTACTCTTATCAGTGCCCTTGGAAGGAATCGAGCCTCGACCACCCACTTGCATGCTGTCAGACGGACTAACTGGCGCGGTGATCACCATGATCGACGAGGGCTTTCTACTTTTACCTCGAAGGTAGCTGAATAGACGTGCCTCCTTAAATTCCAACTCAGCCTTCCTCTCTCCCTCCCTTCCGAGTACATCAGCAAACGAGCTCTATTCATGAAAGAGAGATTTTGTAATAAAAAAGAAAACCCGGTAAAATGCGACCAAGCCAATACGAATCTGCTAACACGAGCGAGCAATGCAAATAAGAAAAAGGCTTTCTCGTACTCGCTCAGTGCCGTCGGGGGGAGTCGAACCCTCAGTGCCCACCGCACAACGATGCGCCTCGTAACATGTGTGGGTGATCACCATGATCAATGAGGGCTTTCTATGCTGCAAAGGTGGCTGGATAAATCTCCCTACTTAAATTGGCCTGCGGCATGCTGCGGTATCAGCAGGTAAACTCCGTTAATCGACGAGAGGGTCCTCCTCTTTAAATGCAAGCAAGCTACGAGCCAGGGTAAGATCAGCGAGCGAAGAAAAGGTCAGACTCTTACAATACTCAGTGCCCTCGAACCCCGCTGGCCACTTGCCCGGAGTTTGAGACGTATAACTATCCAACTCTCGTAGGTGCACCATGATCGGCGGGGCTGGTTAAGCTTTGAACGGGGCCTAAAAAAACCGCTTACTCAAACTATACAAGTTGTAAAATGGGAGTAGAAAGCTAGAACACCCAAGCTACAAATCTAGTACGATCAGCGAGCGATGCCGAAAGGAAACAACAACAAAAAACTTGCTGATGTGCCTTCAGTGCCCTCCGGGGGAGTTGAACCCTCCCCCTCAAGCCTGTTAAGAGCGACAGTTCCTAACTCGGATGGCTGATATCAGTAATCGACGAGTCCTTCCTATGCTGTAGCTTGACTGTGCTGAATAGAGCACTCTGCCTTCAAGTTCTGAATTTGGTGCCCATCCCTTCCGACTGCATGAACACCGTCACCCCGGGAATAGTGACGTACAGGGTCGGGCTCGAAACCCAAGCTCGGGCATGGGTCGGGCTCAACTTCTTGAACGACCCGCGACCCAGACTTGGGCCCGGGCCGCTGACCACATACCTATTGAGGTCGAATTTTGAGGTGAGCTAGGACCTTTAGAGCCCACTGCAACATCAGAACTCCTCCCTCCACCTTCACTCACCTTCATTGTAGATTTGCAGGCCCAGGAAAGGGACGGACCAGTTTTATGGAGTGATGGGTGGATGTTGAAAGTTCACAACGTTGTTCGCAGTCACTTGGCTGGTCTCTGAGGTGAGCAATCATTCAAATCAACCATTAATGTCGTGAAAACTTGTGTGCATTTGGAAAAATTGCAGTCCAATTGCAGTCCAGCCCGGCCGAGCCTGAGCCCAAGCCCGACCCGACCCGGGCCCGACCCAGCAGGTCGAGTCGGGCTCAGGATTTTCTCGAGAGGTCCTGAATCCTCCACCCAATCGCCGGATCAACTCGAGCTAGTTCCGATGGTCCCATCAGATTTGTGGCGCTCGTGACACCACGTTCCTCAGCTTGTCCTCTGCCACTCAACAGCCGCTTTCACATCCTCCGATTCCGCAGCACGACGCTAGCGCGTCCTCTCCTTCATACTTGTCGGTACCTCGCCTGCCTGCCCCCTATTCCCTCGATATTCTGACGGTGATCCTGATAGACACCGATGGATCCGATTCTTGCAACGCTCGTTCAAAGTAACGAACCTCTCAGCAAGCAGTAAGCTCTTCATGTCCGACAAACTCTCAACGAAAATCTCCCCTCGCTCTCCGTGGTCGAGGACAAGATCCCCCGGGTTTTGCTGTCCCTCTTGAAACTCGAAAAGGAGCGGCGCATTCGCAGCAAATACGAAACTCTCACCTCGCTCTCGTCGCTCGAAGAAGAGATCCCCAGAGTTTTTCTCTCCCTTTTGAAACTCGAAAAAGAGCGGCGAATTCGCAGCGAATATGCGGCGACCTTGAAAGGTGTTCTTTCTCCCATTCGCCGTATTCCATCTGAACTCCTTGCCGAAAATTTCCTCCTGTGTTGCGATGGCACGTTCTCCAGTGCGGACCCGCGGTATGTGCCGACGCTTCTCGGTCACGTCTCATCCCGTTGGCGTCATTTCTCGCGCGGCAGCCCGAGACTGTGGGATCATCTCCATATCTCCCCGCACTCTGGTCGCAAGTATCCTAGAAGATCTTTTGCATTCGATGTTGGCCAGTTCTCGCATTCTGCCCCTCCACGTCAAGCTCGAGATGCCCGGCCGCGTTTCAACGGATGGGCCGGCGGATGGGGGCGTGCTCGACCTGGTCTTCCAACAGGCTCACAGATGGAAAGATGTGCAGTTTGACTTCACCGCCATCGATCTCTCACCCCGCTTTGTCGCCAAGAGATCCCTCCCGATCCTCTCTTCCATTAAGATCTTTGTTCGCGGAGACCTTCAAATCGCACACCTCCTACCCCTATTCAACGATGCCCCCCAGCTGCGATAGGTATACCTCTATGCTCGTGACACCCCGAAGGATTCCCTGGTGTCTACGACCTCGTGGTCTCAGTTAACGCGATTGGTATTACACATTCGTATCGGCCTCCGCGAAGCGCGGGATATTCTGATCCAATGTGATATGATACAGGACTGTCACCTCATTGAAGTGACCGCGTCCGACGATTTCGCGCCATCCCAGAATGTGTCTCGGCTCAACCATCTGCAGAACTTCACGATTCATATCGAGGATGACCCTCGTCCTGAAACATTCTTCGACGCATTCTCCTTTCCAAAACTCGCTTCTTTGAGTATCATCGCACACGATTGGTCCCCCGATATTTTGCCCAACCTATACGACCGGTCACACTTCAGCCTGACATCTCTCGAACTCCGGTATCTGGACTTGCGTCCAGAAGACCTCATCCCGTTCCTCAGAAGCCTTCCCGATCTCGAAACACTCCATCTGTCATATTGTGACGTCGGGGACGCACTCCTCAGGGCGTTCACATATGACCCCGACAATCAGCTTCCCCCATTCGCACTTCATCGGCTTCACTCGTTAAGAATCTACGGATTCAGCGATGCCATGAATGGCGCTTGGGTCGCCGATATGGCCGAGTCTATGCCCAGGCATAGTGGGCTGCTTTCCCCGTACTGGGGACGGTGGATATGTTCCTGGCAGGCCCGAGATTCGACGACGAGGTAGAGGATCGTCTCGAAATCGCCTGCAATATTGGTTTCGTCAAAGACAATTCGAAGCGCGAGTGAAGATTCATATTCCGGTGTGTTCAAACTCTGCGTCAAATGCATCTCATTATTGGTCAATAGCAGTGGACGCCGGGGGGCAGAGTGATCTTGTTTAATTCAAATCTGTCTGAACATAATAAGTAAAGCATGACAGGGTGTCGATCGTGCTATGCAACAGACTCCCATTCGCCGAGATTTTCTCTGGATCGAATTATCCCCGGGCTCGCAAGGATGTAAAGAGGTTGGTGCTTAGTAGGTTCTGAGCGCTCGCCAACTCCTGAGTCATTTCAACCCGGAGCGACAAAGTACATTTCCTCTAGTTGAGTTGCTCGGAGGCATTCAAGCTAGCAGAGAGGGAGTTACTCATGCTCTCGACGATCCTGCTCACACTTTGACAGAATTGGAAAACGCGTCATTATTTTTTGCTCCTCAACTGCAGTGCCTGTAAGTATTTCTACTCCCGGTTTGCCTGCACCCTCG